CCAGCCAACCCAGGTGGCCTTGCATGGAGTGGGGGGGGGACAGTATAAACACAGTCGTTATCTGGGTGTTTTGTTCAGCTCCAGCCTTGAGGCCGCAGCTGGCAATAATGAAAATCATTAACCTTTCCCTTTAGTTAAAAGCTTTGCAGATTTGATAGTTTTTGTGGTTCTGATGCTGCTATAATCCAGAAGTCAGTGGTTTAAAAATCTCCATCAAAATCATTTTCATGCTGAAGGCTGAAAACCCCAACAGGAAGTTTGAATCTGTTTTAACCTCCTACGATCTGGTGTCCACATATGTGGACATGACGTTTTGGGTTGTCAAACCAAAATACTAAATTTTGCTTAACAAGGGCCTGATATCCACTTACAAGGACACTGCCACTGTTCTATCGAAACTTAAAGCGAATGTCCTCGTATGTGGATCTCATTTTTCTCGGAAACAAAAATCACGTAAAAAAGAAAAAAAATTCTTTTACATTCATCAGGTCCCAATCAGCCCAAAGAGCAAAGAGAAAATAAAAATGCATGCTATGAAAGAGCTCGGGTCTTAGGAGGTTAAATAATTCTGGGGTCAGGAACAAAATCAAAAAAAGATAATCCATCCAGTTTTTGCAGGTGATTTTTAATTTCAGTGCAGCATCAAGTCAACACACAGTGAGATATAATGATAAAGAAAAGCGTCTGCGTTAAGCCCTACACTAGATCGTTTTCATATGAAGGTCAAAGACTAAACATCTCAAACATGTCCCTTACTTCCTTAATGATTCAGTTTTCCATTCACTAGTTTATTTATCCGGCTCACTGACACGAATGGCTTGATGAAGTTTATTGTTCGTTTTCAGCAGTTTTCCATGCACCACATTTACAATGATATATTCCACCAAGCTGCAGTGTCACAGAGTTTAAGTAAGATTAGAATAAACATTATATCCTTTATGTCTACTTCATACACAAGGGGACCCGGGGGACCCTCTGACGACGCGTTTCAGCACAATCTGGAGGAGCAGTGAGCAAACGTGGAGGGAGGGAAGCTGATGATAAAAATCAATGCGCTGGAGGTCGTTGGGGTGACGGGGAAATGCTTTCCTCCCCTCTGTGTGGTGCTTTGGAGAAGCAGAAGAGGCCTCGGTTCCCACAGCAAGAAACCAAACCACCACCTCTGTAGTGTGTCTGCACAGGCTTACACTGCAGTGCATGCCAAAATAATAAATGATCTTATTCATCCAGTAAAAAAACAAAAGAAATGTACAACTGTTCATGACACCAAGCATGCGTCTTCTGCAACACTTCTGGAAATTTAGGTGTTTTGTTTTTGTATAAAGACGATCTATGTTGTAATAAATGGTACTGAAGATTACACCAGTATCTTCTCTAAGGACCTAAAAACCTAAACCATAAATAAATAAATACATACATACATACATTAAATCAACAATAAATAAAAATTAACAATAAGGATTTAAGGAACTTGGAAAGAAAGCGATTACCATGACTTAAAGGCTAAAGCTTTTCTGTAGCTCAAATTCCTTAAAATGTCCATAAATATGAGTTTGGTTATTGAGTTTTTTACCTGTTGATATGAACACTAACATTTCTGGACAGTGGTTAACCTTTACTTTCAGGTTATCTCCTGTTGTGTGTGAGCTAAAGGGCAAAAACGCCTCCTCAGGGAGTGTTTGTGGTTCTCGTCCTCCTTGTGGAAACGGGCCTTTAAAATCAGCTGAAAGTGGGCGTGCCTGAGGGTGACGGGGAGGATGCTGACTGCACAGAGGTTTAAGGCCTCAGAGGTGATGAGCTGCGAGGTGGTGAAAGCTGTTCTGAATCGGTGAGGTATATTTGACTCGGGGACGTGGGCTGGAGATTTAAGCGTCTTCAGAGCGGTGTAACAAACATACAACTACTGTAAGTGCACACTATAAACTGCAGCTTGCGTGGTTACAGTCAGTGCCAGACAAATACACAACACGCTGTCTCAATATCCCCCCGCCCGCACATTAAATTACAAGACATGTAGCATTTTCCCCCCAGAAGGGTCGCATTTTTTCCTCGTGTTTGATTGTTGCTAGTCCTCAAATCGGTCCATCGGTCCAGTGATGAGCGGCAGAGAAACAACAGCTAAAGGCTACGGGTCGACAGCGGGTTCATCGTTTCAGTTTCTGATGGTTCCTCCTGCGTCAGGATGGAAGGAAATCTACAGCAGAGCAGGTCAGAGGTGGGATAAACACACGGGAACCCACAACCACGGCCATAAAACAGCTCGGCAAGCTGAGGATGCTACACACAGATTCACACAACAGCACCAGTCTCACAGCTCTCCTCCAGATCATCTGCTACAAAGCCGCTTCCTGTCCCCACCGTGACCGCCTCAAACATCTATTTACAACGGTTTCAAGAGCAGAGATGACAGATTAAAGCGGGCGAGTTATGTTTGGCGGCAGTGCAGCTGGGAAATACTGGATTCAGGCGTGGAGGGGAAGTAGCTCCAAGTTTTACAGCACAAAGTTTGAATTTATTTGGGTTTTAGACGAATAAACTGTGACCTAAACTTCACTCTGTAACATAATATTCACATATATATAAATATATCACATTACCTGCATGATTAGGTCAAACTGTGTTGTGTTTCTCAGAGCTGTAATTGCCCACCTGCACTGCCCTAAAATGTGGCCAGAAGCTTAACAGTGATGCGTGTGTATGGTTTGGTAACACAGATGAGAAATCAGGTGTTCAGCAGTCGTTTCCTGTGGAGATGATGACTGTTGTTCTGGTCTCTTGGTCTGTTTCTCCTGGCTCCTGTTTTTAGCTGCCGGCCTCCTGAAAAAGGTCCTAAAAGAGAGATAAGAGACATTTAAGAACTTCAGTATGGCAAATAACACATTCTGCAAAACAAATACTTTATGTATTTATATTTTATATTTAGATTGTTTTTTCCTGTCCGCAAGTAAAGTTTTGGGTTCAACATAACCAAAAGCCGGATTCTTTTAGTTCAACAAGCACATATTAAACCCAACACTTTAAAACAAATGCATGTTATTTTCATACAGAAGAAAGCAGGCAGGACAATGGTGTGTTTCACTGTATTTACAAGCATGAGTTTCAGGTCCTGCAGTGTCTTCTTAGCTCAAAAGTTTGATTACATAACAGAAGTGTAATCACTCATATCATGGTGCTCTTCGTACAGTCCTTTTTCCTGTACTGTCATCACAATTGCATAAAAAGTGTGTAAGAGACCTTTATTAAAACGTCTAATCAACAGATTTAAATGTCAGTCTCATCCACCACCTGTTCATCTTACAACAGAGACAAAACCGTTTAATTAAGAACAAAAACGGAAGCTGTTTGTCTGCAGATAAACTGCTGGTT